GGTTGGTCGGTTTGTTGGTTATTTGGTTGATTGTTTGTTTGCTTGCTTGCTTGATTGCTTGTTTGATTGGTTGGTTGGTCAGTTAGTTGGTTTGTTTGTTTTGTTGTGTTGTTTTAGAGACTCATTCATGCAAGTGCGCAACCTTGAATAGTCTTCTGGTTGCTGCTGTGTGGTCGAACAGCCAGCTTTTCAACTTGTTGAGAATGCTAACCTAAAGGCAAAAATCCTGTTGACTTCTTTCGGGGCTTTTGGCCCAGTCAGAATGCGACCTACGAGTTTGGTGTTTTGTTCCCCACCAGGGTCCTTCAAGTGGGAAGCACTGGGAAGGAGTTGAAAAGCATGAATCGACAGATCGGTGCAAGAGGCGTGGAGCAAAATGAAGTTGATGCTGCCCTGATGAAAGAAAGCACTCACCAGAGTCGCAGGGAGTCGCAGGGGAGCGAGCTCACTTTGATACAGGTCCTTGACTTGGGGATCCCTAAAGATATCACGCGGCGGATCCGAGGCGTTTGGGCAATAAGCAAGCAAGCCAAAACAGGAGCCAATTTTTGGCTGGGAGCTGCAGGTCAAAGGTTAGGCACAGATCAGACGTGGCCCGGGTAACCCTTCGCCAACCTTGGGGTGAAAAGGTTCCCTTGGTTCCTTCAGGGTGTTTTTCGGAATCACTGGGTTTCAAATTGGAGAAATTGGCAAAAGACAATCTAAGTTTCTGACTTCAAGCTCAATTAGCCAACATGGACCCAAAAAAGGTTGGAGTCACAAAAAATAGGTTTTAACAACTGATGCTTTTGGATGCTTGTGCCTAGTGTCCCACTTAGAAAAGGGCAGGGTCAATGGAAGGCGGCAAATAATTAATAAATCAAGGTGGGCGGCAGGGCCAAAGGCATCATAAAGCCCCGTGTGAGTAAGAGGGTGTGCGTGTGTTTGTGTGTGTCTCCCATTAAAAAAGAGCATCCTTCACTCTTTGGGGAAGCCTCGACTTGGCGGGTGTCCTGAAATCTGTCGCCGGGTGCGCGTCCTGCAGTTTCCCACCCGGCAAAGTGCGGTTCGGGGCTGGTGCTCTTACTTTCGCTGTCCTGTTGGTCTGGGCCTGGATGAACATAGATCCGAGCCATTCGAAGCCCATTTTGCAGAGCGCAGTTCCTGGCACGTGGACGATTCTCGGGACCTTGCTGGCACGCGCCTTTGTGTTTTGTCTCGTCTGAAGTTAGGCTTCTCAGACGGGCCGCCTCTTTTCTTGGCAGACACGTTTTGAACAAGCACACAGCACAAACTTTCTGCGGGGGCATGAGGTTCATCTCGCATCGCCATTGTAAAGGAATCTCTTTTGGTCCTTTTGGGGAACTTCCTTTTGGGTTCCAAGTTAACTTGTAGGGGGGGAATTGTAGACCTGGTTGGTGGTCTCTTTGTTTCGAGCGCCAGTGATCAGTGTTAAACGTGGAGAGACCTTCGGACCCATATCCCTCCCCTCAATCAGGGCGCCGGTTTTTGGGTTCTGATAAGTGGGTTTCAACTCTCACCAAAGGACATGCAGCATTCGATTTGTTCGAACCCATTCAGGGTGTTTCTCAAAATTACGGAACCCTTCTGGTGGTTTGTTTCCTTTGGGTTAGGGTTTAACGATTGCAAGCCTTTACCTCGACCCGATCGGAAGCGATCCATCGTTGCGGCGTGGCGAAGGAGCGACTTGGTTGGAACGGAGTGGTGGAGCGACACTTTTCGTGTCCCAAGGGCACAAAGGCGCGAATCGGCCTCATGGTGCGGTGGATGGGGCGAAGCTGTTTTGGTTTTGAGCTACCCCAAAACGTGCCTCAAACACAGGAACCATTTTTTGGCTGGGAGCTGCCACAGGTCAAAGGTTGGGCACACATCAGGCATTTTGCCACTATAGGCAACCCTTCGCCATTTCCTTGGGGTTGAAAGGTGGTTCCTTTGCTGTCCAGGAAATGGAAGTGGGTCAGGGTGCTTTCGGCCCAGTGCGCCAGTGCTTGCTCCCAGTTTTTTTGGGGGCCCATATGAACAGTTTGTCTGAAAATATACGCCCAAAAAATAGGTCCCCTCAAAAAGACAGACGCAGTTGGGTCTCAAAGTAGAGCACTACCCTTTTTCCCTCGTTCTAAAGAGACACCAAAACGGAAGCCGACCATTGTTAGGGGTCCCGTTTGAGCGTCTGCCTCTTGGGGACACTAGTTGAATATTGACCGCATCGCGAGTTTCATCCATGCGTAATTCACCTTTTTCAACCTCGATGAGGTCCATGACCATTACCTTGACCACGTCACCTGGGCCAACACAAAAACAAACACCTATGGCTTGAGGACATGCTTGAAAGCACGTGCAGGGGTCATGATTCTGACCGTTCCCTTTACCGCTTGGGGGTTGACTTTGATATCATGTCCCCACTTGGACATGCCACTTGGTTTCCCTTGGTTGCAACAGCAAAACATAGATACCCTCAAAAGGACAGACCTGACATTCGTAGGCCGGCTGCCTTGCAGGCCTGCCGAAGTGTGCAGCAAGTCGTCCAGACAGTTTACCTCCGCAAGGAGGGCAAGGTGTGCAGGCGACTGGCACGAGCTGGGGGCTTCTCAACAGCCCGGAAATTTACATAGTTGGTATCATGTGAATGTCCGTTTGAATATCAACGAAAGGTCCACCATTTTGAGAACCTCAAGAGATGCGGCATTGCGGACCAATGAAAATGATCGGGCCCCATGCCTCTTGCAAAGCCTTGAACCAATAATCTTGGACCAAAAAGATGTCTGTCCACCCCGGAACACCTCTTGATCACTCGATAGTAAATCTAACTTCTTGGTCAAACAGAACGCGGCAGCCAAAAATAAGAAACTCCCAATGGTTCACAACCATGGCTTACCTCTTAAAAACACAACTTTTCAACTTTTTGGGTAACATGGGCTATATGTCTGTAAAAGGTTAACTTCCCCAATCCTTGGCGTTTTAAGGGGTAAGAAATTGTCTTAAAATTCCTGGAGGCCTCCTTCGGGACTGGTGAGCTCATCGTTGCACTGCTCCGGGAAGAAGGGGTTCCGGCAACAAGTCCATCCCATTCCAGTGTCCTTTCGAAGAAATTGAGTCACCAAGTGTTTCCAAACCGGGCGCTTTGTCACGATGGTTCAAAGGGGAATTAGCACCAAACCATCCATATATAGGGCCCACCCGGTATGTCTTATATACCCAAAGCCTCATGTTAAAATCATAAACTTGGTTGTTGAAACTGCACCACTTTCTATTTAGCTCAAGGGGGATAGCAACTCAGATTCTTGGTAAGAGGGCAACAACTGGGGCCGTTTTGATTTTTCACACTGGCGCTGGTGGCGGCAAACGGACGCTGTTTGACAGCAGCATTCCGCCTACGAGAGAGTTGCAATTTGCGAATTTTCAGGGTTTCAAGCCGGGGATGAAACTGCAATTCTCAGTTCAGATATTGGAATCTTTCAACGGGTGCGGGTTTAATGAGTGCTGAATAGTAAACCATTGCACTTCCCCTGAAACTAATCTACATGGGATAGATCATTGTTCAATTGTTAGACCATTCAGCATCCCGTGTTGCTGACATGAGTGTCATTCTCGGCTTAGGACCACAGTGAGGATTCCCCTTCAGCGGGGAATCACATCACGTCAGCAAGATTCCTTTGATTAGCATCGTCCTCCGGAAAATGACCGGGCTGTTGGACCCAGAGTGCGGATTAATGTGGGATGGTAGCCAAAACCTGCATGTGTTTTGTTCGGCTGCGCTTGCATTCTCGGCATTTTTAGGGACAGGGTTGAACATACCTCAATTGATTGCCAGACTTAACAAACCTCTTTGCCCGGTGTTGTTTTTTTGTTCTTCTGAGCTTCCTTCATTCTTCCTTTTGACCGGCAAATGGGTGTGTCTTGTTTTGAGAGGCAAACTTTTGTGTTACATGTCCAGTAAGTCAAGCGGATTCCGCCATACCAAGACCCACTCATGAGCTTTTCGCTCGGATCCGGGCCTCTTTCTTCCTGAAGCGCCCTGCGCTCTGCGCCAGGGCTGCCTGATGCAAGCGGCGCCATCAGTGCGACAAAGTCCAAATGCTGGGTCTCCGCACACAAAAAACATGAGTTAGATATTGGTAGACCAAACATGTGCCAGAATCTGAACGTAGTAGTTTTTGGTTACCCCAGATTTGGGCAAGTGTTCATCTATATATGATCACGTGGACTTGTTTTGGCCCAACAGCGGCTTGCTTCCCATAAAGCAACAGTTGAGGGATTCACGTTGCTGAAGCCGATCGCTTGGTGTGTTCTCTCGCTCGAAAGAGTCGACAAGTCCAGGAATTGGCTGTGGAAGCAGCAGCGACGGACCTGTGCATTTTGCTTGGATGTTAGGACTTCAACTTTTTGCCCACTAGCAGAAAGCAACCGAGGGACAATTGTTGATAAACATTCAGCTTGTACGAAGTAGATTTTGTCCATCCACAGTGCTACCGTGCTGTGGGCCCCGGCTCCCCCAAATCCCTCCGCATCTTAGTTCCTGACATCAGCGAATTGGCAACAATACTTAAGATTTTAAGAGTTGGAACCACCTCAAAGTGGTTGGCCACCAAATGGTCCCATTAAGATTCATACTCAATAGTTGAAGTGTTCAATCTATACGTGCAATCCTGGAGGGTTTAAGAGACCCAGGTGTCGATGGCTGTTCTACAGGCCCCCCCCACACTTGGTTCTTGCAGTCTTAGTCTTAGTTGACTCCACAAGCAAATGGCAAGTTGTGAAGGGGAAGTCCGGTGATCCCTATCTGCCGTAAAATCGCAACTGGCAGATGCGAACCGTTCTGGCACAGATTCGGTATATTTAAGTTTGGACGACTTTGCACGCTGACCTGCATTGCGGCTTTGGCTCAAGAAGGGGGATATCTTGCCAAATTACACACGGATTCATCTGTCTTGTGATCATTTCAATCAGTAGCCCCCATCCTTCGACTCACACGCCAAAATGCTTTTGTGACCCCTGGAACGCATGCTCAATGCGTTGTGTTCCCCTTGACACCCCCTCCATCATTTGCCCCGTTGATCAAACATGCCGGCGCCTTAGTGACGGATCACTCGCTCGGGGGCTCGTGGGTGAAAGTGCATGACTCTGAGTGAGGCACAGGCTGCGTTACGAGGTTTTCGGGTGACAAACATGAAGCAAACCATACCCAGATATACCCAGATACTTCATCGCATTTTTGTAGAAAACCCACCTCCGAAAGTGAACTATTGGTCTGCTGACAAGGCAGCCTTGACTACGTGCAGGATGGACCAATCGATGTGCCCCTGTTTTGCGAGAGAGAGCTTTTGCACGCCTCGGGGGGTCTTTTGACTCTTAACCAAGAAGAACAACATCAGAACTCTCTTGTTGTGGCCAATGATAGGGGTCCCCTACGTTTCCCTTTAGCCGCATTTAGGGAGGTTCCTCTTCTCTCAATGTTGTGTCGGAAAAACGTAGGGAACCTTAGGGTGATACCGGTAAAAGGAGCCTTCCCAGGAAGGTCCAGAAGATTCCTACCCTGTGTGATGAAAATGAGCATCGCTTTTGGGTTCGCCCATTTCGGTTAGATTGATGGGTTTGAGATTGTTTGGGTGGTTCCCTTCAGTTTCTGGTAGCAATATTGTGGGGCGTTCACATGATGTAGACAGGTAGATAGATAGGTAGCTAGCTAGATAGATAGATAGGATAGATAGATAGGATAGCTTAGCATAGCACAGCATAGGATAGGATAGGGTAGGATAGGACAAGTAGATAGATAGATATTTAGATAGGTAGATATGATATTAGAGATTTGGAATGCGTGTCGTCTGTGCACCTGGAAATCGGCTCGTTTGTCAACTTGGAAATCGGTTCGTTTGTGCACCTGATGTTTTTCAACTCATTCAGAGGTTACATGGTTCGTTGTGGCCGGTCATGTCGCGTCGTGCAGTGCTGTTGTGCATTGTGTTGCGAGCCCTAATGATGTGAGCCAATCCCAGAAGCCTCAACCTTAAACCCTAAACCCTGAAACCTAAAGTCACGTCAGCGAAACCCAAAAGCATAAGCCCGTAACCCAAGCCCAAAAACCTAAAACCTAACGTGATTTGAGCGAAACCCGAAAGCCTAAGCCCCAAACCCAAAAACTTAACACCTACAACCTAACGTGATGTAAGCCAAACCCAAAAGCCTAAACCCTAACCCCAAAAACCTAAACCCTAAAGTGATGTATGCCAAACCCAAAAGCTTAAACCCTACACCCAAATCCAGAACCCTAAAACCTACAGTGATGCGAGCCAAGGCCAAAAACCTAAATCCTAAAGTGATGTGAGCCAAACCCAGAAGCCTCAACCGTAAACTCAAAACCCTAAGCCCTGAAACCTAAAGTCATGTGAGCGAATGATGCGAGCCAAGCCCAAAAGCCTAAATCCTAAAGTGACGTGATCCACTGGTAGGACAAGTGCGCGGCGCTGGGGAAGCAGGGCAGTCATGTGCGCGGATGAATGCAATTCTAGGTGCCAGAACCATAACACCTACAGTGATGCGGGCGAGCCAAACACAAAGCATGAATCCTGAAGCGATGCGATCCATCTGTAGGAAAAGTGCACAGCGCTGGGGAAACGGGGCAGTCAGCTGCGCGGATGAACGGAATTCTCGGTGCGCGGTTGACCCTCATTCGCTAGGCGCGCAGATGAACTGATATTCAGGTGCGCAGATGAACACAGCCCCGGATATTTAGATAGGATTGGATAAATTACTTGTTTTGCCTGTTCCCAGTAACATAACACAGCACTACGCAAATGGTCTCACGAGAGCAAAAGGGTACAATGGCAAAAGGGTCAAGAGTGTCTTGCTTCTGGAAGTTTTACGAGCTTGCATTTTCCAAGCAACAAGAAACGTATAATATATATATATATATAAAGGTTCAACCAATGACAAAAAACAAAACCGATTTAAGTAAAAATGGCAAGTTGCTCCTCGCAAAGCGCACTATGGAAGTTGCTCCGTGCAAGTTTCTGTGGGCAAGTTCTATTTGCGAGTTTCTTCGCGTGGGTGACTCAATGTCACTGCGCCCGTTTGGTAGTCAAAAGTTGTAATTTTGGAGCTGGAGCAGCGGGAGCGTGCCGATCGCCACTTTTGCACTGCAGAGCTGCGATGTCCGGGCTCAAGCTGCAGGAGCGTACCTTGCGCGCTACGTTGGTCCCTTTTTTGCGGTTTTAGCTTGCGAAGCCTGGGGCTAACCCGGGACCCGCCAATCCAAACCACAACACAGTTTCCAAAGACTCATCCGCGAGCATCGTTTTTCCCGCAGAGGGTCGTCCGTAGGCGTTCTCAGAGCGAGTTGACTGAAAATGTTTCTCTGAGCAAGTTCGCTGAACAAGTTCTCTTAGCAATCTCTTTGGGCAAGTTCTCTGAGCAAGTTCTCTGAGCAAGTTCTTTGAGCAAGTTCTCTGAGCAAGTTCTCTGAGAAAGTTCGCTGAGCAAGTTCTCTGAGCAAGTTTCTCCGCACAGAAGAACCCGTCGCAATGTTTTCGGGAGTTCCGCATTCAAACCAACAGTGCTAAGCCAACACAACAAATATCGAACAGACGCTAAGAATAGGAACAATACGGGATACTACCAGCTGTTTCTCAATTGTGAGTAGACAAGACTAGGAACGCACAAGTGAATTGATGCCAGACCAAATCCAGAACAGACGCAGGAATTCTCCAACTGGTATTGCTACAAGCTCGTGAGTAATACTCGATCAATCGTTATACTGGAGTGCACTACTGCACCAAAACTAGTTTCGCACAAACCCATCGAAAAGCCCATACAGGAGTTCAGTCCGTCTGGGCGGTGTAAGAGCAACAACTCTCCCAACAACGACGTTTCCCTGTCTGGAATGCTATGCGCGTGCACCCCACGCGCAAACTCATGAGCGCCAAGCTTTTCCTGGCGAGGAATAACCTAAATATATATATATATACACACAAATATGTTATATCCATTTATTTCCCTCTTTTCGCGTGCCCCTCTGCTGTACCGAGGTCGGTTTCACGGCAGGAGCATGAGCGCCTAGAGGAGAGGTTGGCTCGTGCAGAGAAGGCGCCAGGGAAGAGGGATGAAGAGGGTGTGGAAGGTTTGCGTTTCTCTCTTCCAACCATTGTTGGGCAAAATGTGCTTAAGCCCCAGACAGGGCATTTCCTTCTTTCCTGTCCCTTCAAAGTCGACTATAAAGAACCAGAAACGCGGCAACGGTGGCCCAGGGAAGCAGCCAAAACCCCCACCGCATTTCTTGGCAGAATGGCCGTGTGTCATCCTTTCAGGCAAAGGTTTCCTACATGCTGTTGTTCTTCCTTTTCTCAGCCAATGGTGGCTGGTTGGTTGCGTTTCGAGACTGTTTCAAGCAGCAACACCCCCAATCCAAGGTTTAAGAGGTTCCCCCCTTACCCGCGTCGCATGAAAATTACGTAGTGCCCGTTGGGCCCGCCTGTTTATCCCATGGGTCGCAATGCAATTTGAGCCATTTGATTGTGCCCTTCACCGCTTCCAGGGGTTTCCTTTCCTTCTTCAGGGGTCCCTTGCCTTGAGAGGTTCTATAGGTTCCCAAAGTGGATTCCGGACCCCCCCCCTTTTGGTATTCGAAGGGAAGTGAAAAGGAAACCAAGGACCACAGCTTGGAGAAACAGTGGCTATGTGAAATAGGAGTCCCGATCCTCAAAATGGCGTTTGTTTTCGTTTCTGAGCCTGAAAGACAAACCCTCGCGCTTAGGTCACCTTTTAACTGTTGGCCTTTTGGTTTTCCCTTGTTTCCCTTCGTCTTATGCGCACTTTGCGCAGGGGGGTGTGGCCCAAGGATGGTACCCAACCGGCCGCGTGAAATTCGCCCACTTCGGTCTTCGGTGAGGCGGTTATGATGCAGGCGGGGCAGATCCAGGAGCTTCAGGCGGGTTTCCCTGGGAGCGGGAAATGGGCGGAGGTGCTTTTGAGGGTGCCATGTTTGGTGGTTTAAACGGGAAGCCAAAAAGTGGGTGTTCGAATCTGTGGTGTCCAATCACCCGGTTATGGCTCTATCTTACATGGCAATAGTAGGTGCACACAAATCCAATTCCGGACATGTCTTGTTTTCGTGGTAAATCAATCGTTTAGGCTTTTGTCGCCAATCCACTTAAGTGGGACTAAATGTAGCAGATGCCGCCATTGGTCAGGCGCAGGTTGATGCTTTGCTGCTGGCGCCGTCCGAAGCCTAGCTGGGAACGGCTGCAATGGCATGGTCATTGGGGCGTGTGTGTTTGAGTATCTTTTCTATGCGGGTTTGAAAGGCAATTAAGGAAACCTATCGTTTGTTGGGGGTCTCATATTTTGACACATGTCCATTTCCTGGCATAAGTCGAGCTCATCCGCGAAGGAGGTTAGTGCATTTTGTCCACTTCCGTGGGAATAGAAATGTTATCAGCCGCAATCAAAGCCTTATTGAAGGTTAGTAGGGCACAGCATTCGCAACCGTTGGCGCGGCCGCCCTTTGATAGACTTATTTGATACGCAGACGAGACTTTAGGGCTCAAACAACAACAAGAATAGCAAGCACTTCTAAGAAGGCTCCTTCAGATTTTTCTCGGTGCTTTCAAGGCTAACTAAAAAGTAAAACCCAGATGTCGTAGGAACCCCAAACATAATTATACGTGTTTTCCCCAAGGTCAAAAGGTACCCTCCGACCAAACACAAATGCTCCACCCCACCAAAGGAAAATAGTCTAGGGGGTTTGTGCACTTCCATGTTTCGAGGTGAAACCAGTTTTTTGGTTGCACTTGCCGGATGTCGAAACGAAAGAATCGGGCCTGCTTGCCAGACTTCCTTTTGCCACTTTTAGGGGGAGGCAGTTCACTCTAAAACCAAGTACCTGCTTTTGGCGGGGGGGGGGGGAGGGTAATTGGGGAAGGCCCAAAAACACAGGGTGGCTGTAAATGGCTTGAACACCCCTCTGCGCATCAGTTCTGGGATTCATCCGGAAAAAGAAGAAGGAAAAAACGCAAAAACATCCTGTGTTGCTTGCTGTTAGACGATGTAAAGACACCAAACGCACAGCTACAGGCCCCAGCTGATTCTCAGCCAGTCATTTGCCTTGGGTTGACGCGGGATATCCGGTTGTGTCCCAGTAAAGGCTTCTTGTTGCATGCTTTTGGAAAGACTGGGGCTCATTTCAAGGATTCGATCGTACTCGTTTCGTGTGCCATGCGAGAGAAATCCCTGGGGAATGTGTCGACCTGTCGGATCATAGAAGGAATCAACATTTCCACCAATCTGAACAATCATATCGAGCTCACCTGGGGCTCAATGCAGCTTACCCGAAAAGATTTTGACCACAGGGAAGCCACCAGGGATGCCATTTGTTCTATATACCTCAAGGAAACCATAGAGGGGATGGAACATGATTGATCTTTCTTTGGCCTCGTATTTTCACTCAGACTTGAGCATCTCCCTTGCTGTTCTGCACACCCTGCGTGACATAGTCGCGAATTCAGGGTTAAGATTCCCCTCCCCCACTTCGACGAAATCTTTGGCCAAGTTACAAAGCTCCCCATCAACCAGAAACTTTCTCCTCTGACACCTCCCCCATAGGGTTTGCTGGCTTTCCCAACCAATGCAGCAACCCAACGAAGCCCTTTGTGGCCCAGGGCGCGGGCCGCCCCGGTAGGCCGGGCGAAACAGCCTTCGCGACTCGTGGAGCCCCAGATCTGTTTCGTTTTCTTTTTTTTTGTAGGGCGCCATAGCCACCCCCCAAAATGGCTTCGGTTTTCCGGTTGGCTTTGGAACCAAAAGGTGGTCGTCAAACAAAGGCGGACCTATAGGAAGACCTGCTGGCCCAAAGCGAACCGATCCGCTGACCCTTCAGTATCCCCTTGCCGGAATGATTTCAATAGTTATTGTACCAGAACGTCAACCTTTTCTTTGGTTGGTAGCATTTGGGTTTCTCTTGACCCACTTGAAACATGGCACCCTCAAAACACAAACACGCACACCAACCCTCTTAGCAAGTTGCAGCCTCACTCCGCCAGTTCCTTCGGCCACCTTCCGTGAGCGCTCGCGGACGCCGGCGCCGGCCTACTCGCTGGCGATGCCGATTCCGGCTGTGGCCTGGCTGTCGAGTGGTTCAAGGACCCAGTGGGTTGGCTCCTTTGCTCACTCCCTGAGGTGCTGGACCTTAGACGTTCATTTGGCTGTGGCTCAGAAAACCGGTACCAAAATGGGTTGCCCTGGTAAGTGGAAACATAGACCAAAACCTGCGTAACCCCTCCTGTTCAATTTTGAGCCACGCCCATTTCATCCATTTGCTCAATACTATTTTAAGTTATTTTCCCTTGGTCTTAAAGGGAATGTATATTTCGAGCGGGCTGGAGCAACTGGAAGATTTCAGTGGCATACAAAAAGTGTGGGCATAATTTGGGCCATCCACTGGCGGCATGAGGTGTGCCTTTCTGTTGGAGGGAGTTCCCTTTGAAAAGTTAACTATCGGAGGGTTCCCCTTTTATCGCATGGCCATGGGGTTTGTGGGCTGCATATCACCGGGAGCTACAACCAAAACCCGGGTAGGTGAAGGTTAGTAGGGGACAGTCCCAAGCAACAGAACCAATTTGGGTGCACCATGGTTTGGATAATGGTTTTGACTGTGACTCACCTGAGCCACCGGCACGCGGACTAAACTCATTGTTTATTCATCCCGGGTTCCATCAGCAGCAGGCATTTGTTTTTTCCAGCAACCGGAGAAGAGCAACTTCAATTGTACACACACACACACACACCCAGGCGTTGAAATCATGGGTCTGGAAGGATGCCTCAAATGTTAAACCCTTTAAGCCATGTGACGAGTAGGACAAGTCCAAACACCTGGGAAGGGAGCCGCAGCGTGTCGCGTCTGAGGCAACACCGGCGGTCCAGCCCGTCGCGTCAGTCTTTGCGCGCACGTGGCGCTCGCTGGATTTGTGGGAACTCGGTGAATTCCGAATGCAGCGGTTGCAAAATGTGTGCTTGTGCGGGTGCATGGTGTGTGCTTATCTAATTTTTCGAGGTGGCCCTTTTTCTTCTTTGGGTTTCAAAGCTTAGAGATACCAAAGCAGTTGCAAAATGGGGAGGTCTTCTTCTGGAGGGTCAGTTGTGCTTCGTGGTTTGAAAAAGAAGGTAAACAGGGCATACACACCTCATTTCGAGGGATCCTAAAACCATCCAGAGAAGTATGGGGGTCAGAGAGGCAATTGCCCACCAGACAAAGCGACCAACACGTGCATATGTGCGCTAGGTGTGTGTATATATATATATACACGCGCTTTGGTGCATTTTGCTTGGATATTAGGACTTTACCGCTTTGCTCACTAATGGGTTTTCCATTAAACCACTAAAACTTAAACTTTTAGCAGGGGAGCAAAAAGCAACCGATTATGTACATAGGTGTTGTGCGTGTGTGCTTTGTTGCGTGCACCCTCTTAGCTTGGTTGCATTGGAACCTGGGCCTATTTTGCTCGTTCATGTTTCGAGTCGTCACAGGATCGCTCCAAATCTGGAGTCGAAGCTTGTCCCCAAAATTTGGGGCATCCCGCCAGTGGACTTCTTCCATAGGTGTCCTTTTTGGTTGATTTGGTTTACAAATAGAGGGCCCTGGTTTACCTGGTGGTTCAATCAAGTACCAGGGCCATCTATTTTCCCACAAAGGACACCTATGACTTTATTTTTTCTTCCAAAATCTTGGTGCTGGTGGTTTGTCGGAAGCATCTGGACCGTTTTGTTATCCTTCTTTGTTTTTCTTCTTTCTTTTTTTCGGCGCAACTTCGGGGCCACTCCGCCAGGCGCCCGGCTCCGGCTCGACGCACAGGCCGCCTTTTGCTATGCGGAGTCGTGTTTTGGGGTGTCTTTGGCGGCTTGGAAAACGGACCTCATCTGAAATTGTTGTGTTTTGTACGGGGGCTGCCTTCAAAATCCCAAAAAGGATATCAAGTGTTTTGTTTTTTTGTTTTTTATCCGCAATGTTTTTGGGCGGGCTTTCCTTGTGGTACTTACCATCCCCACATCTAAGATCCCGAAAAGGGACTTTTGTTCCCTGATGAGTAAAGGGGATACAATGTATGCAGGGGCTTAACCCCACGTGAGTGCAGTTCTGGGGGTGGGACTGCATTTCCACACGGCTCCAATTTTGGTGAACCCAAGGTAGACTCTTTGGGATTCTCCTTTTGGGAAAATGAATCGCTCCTAGGTGTAAATCGACATAGATCGACCTTGAGGGAAGCCCAAAATGGGTATGCCCCGCTAAAGCAACCCCAACAAGGGTACCCTCAAACCAGCACCACAATTCGTGTGTGTCTTTTTTCGGGGCACCCTCCTCCCCCCCCCACAAAAAAAAGAACACGAGAAAATAACATAATATTGTGTTTGCCGTTTGCTAAAATTCACAAAAAAGGGTACATTTTGGAAAAAGAAATAACCCTGAATTGCCCAACCCAGACATGTTCAGGCTTCGATGTTGTGCTCACTCCGGAGCAGTTTGCGGAGCAGAACGGCCTAGACGAGAAGTGCCTGGAGGTATCGGCGGATGCGTCCAGTTGTTTCGCTTCAATTCTGTGTGTGTGTGTGTGTTTTTTGAGGGCCCCTGTTTGATGCTTGTTGAGGAAAATCAACAGGAAAACCACAATTTTGCGGTTTCCCAACGAAAGACCCCCCAGTTGGTGGACTTTGAAGTTTTTTGGGAAGACAATTTTCAAGGTGTCTATTGGGCTTTTTCCATGGTTTTGTCTAGGTTTTTTTGGTTGAAGAGGCACTGTTGGAGGGTTGCGCAATGTGACCCCATGGCCCATGGTGCTATAGAGACGATACTCAAACCCAAGCCCTCAACCCCACCCGGCCGCACCGCGCCAGGCGCTGTTGGGCCAAGCGCCCGAAGTTCAGGACTTGGCGCGGGGCCAAAGTCGACGGGGTTCCGATCGCTGGCATCGAACCACAATGTTTCCAGCATCCTAAAACCGGGTGTTAGAACCCGGTGTAGGGTCACCCTACACAAATCCTGGCATGGAAACCAGATGAATCCATGAACACACCTTCCGCCTTGGCCTTATCACGAAGGAAAAGAGAGCGAGAGGGGAGGGAGAGAGAGAGAGAGAGAGAGAGCGAGAGAGAGAGAGAGAGAGAGAGAGCGGCACATAGGTCGCAATCTTCAAGTAGCACAGTCGAGTTCCAGTGGTTGCTTGGCGGCGGGCTTTTCTCTTCCAGGCTCTTAGAGCGTTGGGCTTGCTCATGATGAAGGCTCTTGCGAGCCATTTAGCCCTCGGAATCTGGGAGGTTTGTTCCCGACGGCATCAGTGCATTCTCAGCCACTGGGCGTGGCTGGAACACCCAGGTTGTAAGTTGACGAGCTTTATCACGTGGACGAGCAGTGGGCTCTTGTGCCCGAGACCGAAGAAAGAATAGTACTAAGATAGGTTTGAATAGTAAAACATATTTCACAAAGTTCAAGGCAGGTTCCATTTTAGTTTAGGAGTTTGTTTTGTGTGTGGTATATTGATTGTATTGTTAGGATGGTTATTGCTTATTTCTACTCTTTTGCTTGAAGCAATATTTGTTGCCCTCTTGGAGGTGCCGCTACTTCAGAGCAGGGGGGAATTAAAGACCCAATTTGTTTTCAGACTACCCTCAATTGGTCGTTTTGGTGGTTTTGGTGGTTTGGCGATTGCTGAATCATGCGAACGGTAGCGCCTAAGCTCTCCAATCCTAAGCACCTGCAGGGTGACGTGGTGAGGTGTGGCGCGTTTAAACGAAGCCGAAGGTTTGCCCAACCGAATTCAACCAGTCCATGACGCCACTTCAAAGCACCAAGTGCGAGCCCAGTTCTGAGGTCATTAGCCAAGGCCCTGCAGAGGGCGCCGAGCCCAGATGGACTGCCAAAGCGAACATCGCTTTGAAAACCCTTCACTTTTGGGGGAACACCTCCGCATGAATCCACCAAGTTGATTAATGAGGGGGTAACGGTCAAAATGGAGCAGGCTATGGAGGCAATATGTCTACTTGCATAAACATGAACTGTGCACAATTGGGTCGAACCTCATCCAACAACGCGGTGTGAGCTGCAATGTGTGGAGCCTTTTTGTCTCAACGTTGAACAGTTCCGTGTCCAGATCCCTTGTCCGCTTCTTGTCCGCTTTTTGTCTCTCTTCAACGTCAGCCCGAACAGCACGTGACTTGGCGGTTCCGAGCCATGCTCTTAGACTTGCATGTTTGAAAGTTCAGACTGAGACGCGCAGTTTAGCAAGGGATCAAAAAGCCATTGGTACCCTAGGGTTCATGATCGCTTTCATTGTACTGGTTGGTGCCTCATTTGTCCAACCATTCTTTTCAATTACTAACCGTGTGTCTGTGTTGCTTGTGGTTTTCTGGAAAGCGATCCCAGAAAAGAATGGGGAAGACATCGGCAGATTAACCGCTCCGTCCCGAATCATGCCCCTCCCTGAGCTACCAACACTTCCATTTTACCGACCTCACTGCCACATATTTGGACTCACTCACATGTGTTGTGCATTCCCGTATGCATGTGTTTGCCTTGCTTGTATGCTTTCCTATGCGCATTTGTTTTGCCTCGATGTTTGTCATCACTTTTTGTTTGGTTCTTCGTGCTTCTGACCAAGCACTTTCCAGACACGAGAATCAGCCCTAGTGCTTTCACTTTCCACGGAAGCTTACCTCTAGGCTAGCCTCCAGGCTTTAAATCATGGTTGCCCGCGGTTCGCTGGGTCACACATCCCAGCTGTGGCCTTTCCGCGGCACCCAGAATGAGGCAGAAATCCGTCGGCCATGGTCATGGGAAGGACGGGCGGATGGGTTGAACCAAATGTGGCAACGGTGCTTTGGCCCTTCGTAGTACCGATCCAACAATAGTCACTAGGTTGCAATGGCTCCCCTTGGGAGTGGACTCTGAAAAATAAGGCCGTTTTTGCACAAGAGATGCCTACGATAGTGGCACATGTCATGTGCCATGCATGGTCTTGGCGCTAGCTTCAGCCGATCCCACAGTCCAAGTCACAAAGGAAAAGGCCGGCCGTTTCTGGAAAACATGCGGATGCGGAGCCTGAATGAGGCCCGGGGCCAAGATAACTTACCGTCTTTCGTCGTTACTTGCCTGAGAATCATCGCGAAAGCCTGCGATCCGATCACAAACGTCGTGTCCTCTACTTGGAGTGATGTGTGGGTTCCTTCTTTTGATCTTAGGCAGTGTGGACTTTTGAGAGTCTGCTATGAGATTCCACAACATTCCACAACCCAGAGCGCTTCTATGCGAGTCATGGCCCGATCAAACGCACCTCAGGTTGAATTGGAGCTTACCCATAACCCGGGTGGAACCTATTCGCGGAATTCAATCCCACATCCACAGGGAGCACTTGACTTTGTTCCTATTACCCTCTTTGCAACAATCATGGAAGTGGACAGAGACTGTTCAACAGGACTTAGTCTTTGAACACCCTTCTGTCAGCTTTGACTGTTAAGGAAGGGTAAGACTAAAGCGGGGGAAGCAACAGCTAAGATTCCGGTGGAACAGCCCCCGTGCCATGTTTCCGTGCGCAGCACGCGCGCGCCCGTGTGCCATTTCTGCGTGAGGATCGCCAAGGCCATGCGCGAGTCCGGCTCGGACATGCAGCAGCAGGCGCGCAGTTTGTTGTTGAGGGTACCCTTTTTTGGTTGGCTTAAAGGGAAGTGAGAGGGAAAACTGTGAGGGGTGCTCAAAATGACGTTTGGAGTTTTGGAGTTCGGGGTGCCCCAAACATGGCTCAGGGCAACATGTATAGCAAGCAGGTTTGGGACCTCAGCCTTGAACCGTGCTTCCGTGGTGTAACTGGGGGAATCACGTGATACTTGAAGCTCCCGTTTGCCGCGGTTTGTTCGAGCTGGCTGTCTCATTTGTTCGTTTTTCGGTTCAGTTTGCGTTTAGCGTTTTTGGGGGGGGGGTCGAGCAGAAATCAATAATTCGAGCGATTGTTTCTCGTACCTAAAAAAAGGGCACGTTGGGTGCCTCAGGTTGATTGTTTATTTGTTTGTGTGTCGCTCGGTCTCCCTGTAAGTGGTCTGTTTGTCTGTTTGTTTGTCTGCCTGCCTCCCTGTCTGTCTGTCGGTCGCTGTGTCTTTCGGTCTGCCTGCCTGTCTGCCTGCCTGTCTGCCTGCCTGTCTGCCTGCCTGTCTGCCTGCCTGCCTGTCTGTCTGTCTGTCTGTTTGTATATATGCTTGTCTATGTTTGGCTTTCGGATTTCCTTTGTCTGTGTGTTTGTGTTTTGCTTTGTTGGCTGGCTGGTTTTGTGATATTTCAGTGTTTATGCCTTCCGTTGGTCGTTAGTTGTGACTTGTTGTAAGGGTGTCGTTATTTACGTATTTTATGTATTTGCAAGTTTATGTATATGTGTTTGTTTTGACTATATATATATATTAATATATGTATATATATATATATATGAATTATGTATGTTATGTAGTGATGTCTTGAACAGCCTATGTTGTTCTGTATTTAAGTTGTGTGTATTTAATTATGTGTGTCTTTATGTATTCCTTGTGTTATTTCCGTATGTCTTCATTATGTATTTATGTGTTTCTGTGTTTAATTGTTTCTGTGCGTCTTTGTTCATTTGGTTGGTTGGTTCTTTGTTCACGTGTGTCCTTGTTTACGTGTTTCTTTGTTTCTGTTTTTTGTTGCTTGCTTTGTTTGTTTGTTTGTTTGTTTGTTTGTTTGTTTATTTGTTTCTTTGTTTGTTTGTTTGTTTGTTTGTTTGTTTGTTTGTGTGTGTGTGTTTGTGTGTTTGTTTGGTTGTTGGTTTGTTTTGTTTGCTTGCTTTATTGCTTGCCTGTGTTTGGTTCTTTGGCTCTTTGTTATTTTTGGTGTTTGCTTCTTGCGTCTTTTGACGTTTCTGTTTCATTTGTTTGGTTGCTTCTTTGTTTCCTTGTTTCTATGTTTCTTTGGTTTGTTTGCTGACTTGTGCATTTGCCTGTTTGCTTGCCTGGTTGCTTGTTTGAGTCACGGGCGAGGGATCAGACAACTGTAAACGAAAGCATGGAATGTGGGCGCCCAATAAAATCTGAGCAAGTCAAAGCAACCTCTTCCTTTCTTAAGGACGGGCTCGACTACGAATCTCAAAGGGAGAACACCCCTCACAAACGTTGTTGGTGGATCTAAATCCCCATACGGGATGATGTCACCTGTCTGGGGCTAAACAATTGCATAATATGTCGTTATCTTATCCCGACAACTCCATATTAGTTGCGTGAAAAGTTCTGGAGGGAGCTCAACCTTCGAATGGGTGTGTCTCTAATAGTTGCGGGGGGCGGCAGCCGAAATGTTTGGTTCCCCTTGGAGGGGCACTGCAAGAGTGCACCCCGACAAAATGGCATGCTCAAACTGTCTCCTCAAAGCCCCTGGGCCTAAGCATGAACCAGAACATCCTGCAGAATTGCGTGCTATTGAAAGATTGATCCAGGTTGGGCAAAATAACGAAACAGCAGGCAAAATATGGTTTTTGGGGCGTACCCGTTGGGCCAAGAGGGCTTCACCGCACGTCCTGACACATCTTAGGTGGAGACCTTTATAGCGGAAAACTTGTTGGATGAGAAGTGCGCGGAGGCCGGTGAGAGCTTTCCTGCTGAGCTGTGAGTTTCCTGCTGAGCTGTGAGGGCCGGCTTAGGGCACAAAGCGCCCCTGCTTGTTGCGTGCTTTGTTTGTTGGTTTAAGGGAAGATGGTTCATGTCTAGGTTGGACCTTTCTAGCACCGACCTTGTCTTTCGTTGGATTTTGACCTTTGGACCTGGGGCTTTTCGACTTGTTGCGGTAACACTTTAAGGTGAGTTTGCTTTGGGGTGATGTTTAAGGAGAGAATATAGGACTATGAATAGGGAGGTAGCCTTGACATTTTGTTTAGAGGGGAACCCAAAATCCAACAGGGGATTTCGGGGACGTTCCGTGCAGTACCGAGCCGGAGTTGAGTTTATGGTAAAAGCATAGATAGGTGCTCCCCCTTTACCCCCAAAAATGGCCTTGCCTGAGCCTCATTAAGGCTTACCAAGAGATCTTGGGGCGGGAGGCCTAAGGGGGCACCCCGAGGCTTTCGTAAGTTCAAGTCTCGTGCTGAACCAAGGTGGTTAGTTGGGGGGGTTTAACCTGATTCTGTCTTGTGCCCTCTACCCCGCAGGTTTTTTTTTTGGGGGGGGGACATACTGTCTTGGGGCTTATTATTGGGGGCATGTTTGTTTTTTAGGAATATGTTTGGGATGTTCTTGGAGGGAAGGCAGCGGCTCTTTTGGGAATCCTATGCCAGGCACTACGATCGCAAACCCCCGAGTGCCAGGCAGGTTGTCAGAGTGAGGTTCTTGGGGCTTACTGCGATTACATCCCTATTGCCAAGCAAACATCGGCGGCCAGGTATCCGTTTGCTGGGTGCATGCAACCCAAAAAAGGTGGTCCGATTCCCAAAAGTTTACTCTACCAATGATTGCTTTGGGCATTCATGTTAACTGGTAGGGGAGTAAAGCCAATCATTTACTTTTTGACGATTTTCCAAATGGAGCCGGAAGGGGATGAATATGTGTTTTTCCCTCACCCCTATGGAGCAACGAGCTTGCTTTATGGAAGGGTGTGAGTCAAAGGCTCCAGCAACCCCCCTTGAATGGAGTGAGTGGTATTGAAGAAGTCATGCTACGGCCCTTGGAGACCTGAAATCGATATGCACTGGCCAAAACAACCAATACTTATGTTGTTTCCAAACAATAAGCCACGGTTTTAGTTTGTCCAACTAGATGCCATAATTTGCTGAGTTGTCGAACATGAAACCCGAAGGGGGGATTGGTTTTTGTCTGATCTGTCCAGACCTCGTATTGGCAGCTGCAAGCGCTTCTCTCAGCCGCACTCTGAAATGCACAGCAGACATCCCAGACCTCCCTTGCCGTTGGTTGCTCCGAATTGGTGGTTTGGATTGATGGTTTCGGGACTTAGGACAACTCTAAAAGCATTTTTAGAGAAATATGTTGTTGGCATTGGCTCCTGTAGAGGGTAGATGGGGAACCATCCGCAAAGCCTCCAAGCCAGCTATTCGAGGGAAGCCGATGTTGTGCCCTTTTGCCCTTGTTTTGGGGGGAGAACTGTACGGCTCGCTGCCTGAGTTCCTTGACCTTGGGCTTGTTGGGAAGACCATTTTAGTGGTCAGGCACAAAGTTCGGGCTTTTCCTTGCCAATCCACGCAAGTGAGAAGGGCGTCACATGTTGGGTCTGTGAAGTCACCTCGATGACGATACTTCTTTAAGGCTGCGTTGTTTAAGTCTATGACTTGTCTTCGTTTGCCCAGTTTTTGTTGCATGGGGAAACGCCGCAGTCTACCAGCGAAGGAGCCTATCGTGTTAAGGTCTGACCCAAGGCTGGAGTTTACCAGAGTTTCATTTGCTTGTCGCTCCTGTTGGATTAATTAGCTTTTGGCGTTCACAACCGACCGCTTTCCGTTCCCTCTCAGTGATCATGTTTCTTGACCTAGGGTTTAGGTGTTGAGGTCTGATATGCAGAACATGCAAGCAACATGTAATTTGTGCTTGCTTTGTGTGGTCCGTGTGCGGTGAATTCACTAGATTTGCGCCGGGCAGCACTCGGTGAATCATGTTAACGTCGGATTTATGCCCCTGCCCCAGAAGCTCAAGCCTCAGATCAAAGCGGTTTCGGGGAGAAAGTGATTTACGAGAGAAGAAGGTTGGGAGCGGAATGATTCATGATGCTAAGCAAGGCTGGCCACGCCTGGACAAGTATTCAACAGCGTGCTTTTGTTTTTTGGTTTGCCGAAGTAATCAGATGCGTGCTGAATGCTGGCGCCGCGCACGGAATCTGCATGATTTTTGGCCGTCCGCAGAATCCACGCGTTTAATGTTCGCTGCGACGGTTGCGAGTTCGACCGGCGTGGCATACTGGCAGCAGCCTGCCTAATTTGAGGACACTGCTGGGTCTTAAATGCGCGCTCTTCTGCGCTAGTGAAGAGCGGAGCATAATTTAACGTTTAATTATATTTATCCAGATGAGGCGTTGTGTTTGCCAGGCAAGAGAAGCATCACAGCCATAGTGGTTTATCGAGAGGAAGTATGTGAAACACGTTTGCGCATCGTGCTAGGTTATAACAATGGCTATTCAGGAAAGCCGCTTGCATCTGAAGCTAGCGGGTTGGAATCCTTATTTTGGAGCAACGGGCAGGATCTGCCACGCTAATCTGACGCATTGGAAGGCTTAATTTGAGCCTGGAAATTAGATTGAGATTTCATTGGGCCAGCAGAGCCGCCTTCCAGACACTAGGCGAGCGGCATGTCGAAGCGGGAGCAACTCAGGAGGGGCAGATGACGGCACATCGCCAACTTGGGCCGGCGTCAGTGTTTAGAATTTGGATCCCGAGAACACGCCATAGTAATCGGGTTGGAAGGCTTGGACGAAGAGACCCCAAGCGTTCCCTATTGTATTGCTCCAAGCATAGGTATGACTAAGCCGCGAGTGCAAAAGGTTGGGCTGGCTTCCCTGGATTACCCTTTCTGCATGTTTCTTTAAGTGTCCGTTGGTTTCCCTTAGTTTCCCTTTCCAGCAACCATTTCCCAACCCTTTTGCCGAATTCTCAGGTTTCTTTTTCGGGGTACCTCTACCCTAGAGTTATCTTCTTATTTTTTTGTAGATAGATGCGTCGTTGAGTGTCCTTCCCTTGAAAAACCAAAAGGAAATCGTTATTTACCTAGCCACAAAGTCAGTTCCAAGTCCGTCGCTCACAACTCTTGAAGCCCCGATCACCACCCACCCCACCAAACCATGCACCCAGCCACCCACCTATACCCAGCCACCCACCCACCCACCCACCCACCCACCCACCCACCCACCCACCCACCCACCCACCCACCCACCCACCCACCCACCCACCCACCCACCCACCCACCCACCCACCCACCCACCCACCCACCCACCCACCCACCCACCCACCCACCCACCCACCCACCCACCCACCCACCCACCCACCCACCCACCCACCACCCACCCACCACCCCCACCCACCCACCCACCCACCCACCCACCCACCCACCCACCCACCCACCCCCCTACCCACCCCACGCACCCCACCCAAACCCACCTCTTTTTTTTGAGGAAACCCGCGCTTAGCCCAGATCTCGGGTTGCGCGCTTCGCCATTCGCCGCTTGTTAGGTGGCGGTGCTGAACCAAGGGCCCGCGAGCGGGCGCAACGCCTCTGCCATGGCCGGGGAAGCCCGGGGCGTCTCTGGTGGAGGGTGCCCTTTTACCCTCTTTTGGGGGAGGGTTCCCCTACCAAAATAGACCACAGAAAAAAGGTACCCTTATTCTAACCTCTCTACTGGAGTACCTAGTTGACTAAGGCCTCGTTGATTTTGTTTGAAAAATCGGTTTGACTAGACTTTTCTTGGAGAACCAAATCAGAAAGTCGATTATTTGCTGTGAACAGGGTTCCCTGTATTTGGCCACCACTTGGTGGCTTGAGAAATCACTAGGTTGACCAGTTGAAGCTCAGTTTCCTTTTGGCGGGCTGATGTTTAAAGTGGAAGTATAGGGAGCCTTATTGAAGATCAACCAAGTTGTCAAAGAAGTAAAACAAACACTCGCCGAGTGACTACATTTGCCTTTAAAGTCGGCAAAGGGTGAAGCCACCCGTCAAACAAAAGCAACAAGAAGAAGGTTTGTGTCGTACTACCGTGGTGGGTTTCATTCTCAAGTGCTGGAACCTGCAAGACCCCGTAAAAAAAAGTTGGAACTCTCAGGGAGTCGATGTGTTTCCCAAATAGCTGGGATTCGCTGGTGCACATTTGCCACAGTCTTTGTTTACACCCCATTTACTCGGGGCTGGTGGGGATGGTCAGGACAATATGCTCAGCCGATTCATTTCGAGGTCATGGGCCGCATTGCCAAGTTCCAGCGCGGAGGCGGATCGGCATGGGGTGAAGAGGCAACTGCCAGCACCTTCCAAGGGTAGCTTTTCCATTTGTACCTCAATTTTGTGTACCAACTGAGCCCTTGTCGGGTGATGAGATTGTTTACTTGGAGGGCTCAACATGTCCGTTTTGGAGGCCCTTGAAATTTGCTTGCATTGTTTCGCAGAGCAACGTTTGTCCAACCGAAACGGAGATGTGAGGCAACCTTGGGTCATCATTTCCAGTTTGTGAGTATTCTTAAATACTTTTTGCCCAGTATTTTGATGTATTTTGTCTTTGCTTGGTTCTGTTCAGGGGTTGGAAAGGGCAGATGTGTCCGCTTACATGCCAAAGACAGTCCACTCCGATCAGATCCCCCCACATTTGGCTTGGGGTTCGGTGTTGCTGATGCCTCAAGGTTCCAAAGCGCCAGAAGTGCCGTCCTCTACATACGCCGCGGAAAAAATCACTCCAATCTCCCAGGGGCTCCCTTCATCTTCGCCGCAAGCCTGGGGCATCCACATGTTTTTGGGAGTTGTCCAAGTTGTCCTCCCTTGGCCCTGTCTTTCTTGCCAACCTCCGGATTTCTTTGCTTCTTTGCGCCGATTTCCTTTTAAGCTTGGCCGCGAACAAGGCCCTCAGTCTCCACTCTCACCTGAAACGTCCATAGGCTTCCAACGGTTTCCTTCGGCGCCACGAGAGGCAGTTCCCTTCACCTACTGTTGACCCTCGAAAGATGTAACCGTCTCCAAGCGGACACCAGGGCCCCAGATTCTTATGAGCTTATTTCTGTTCCTTGGTGATGGTGACACAAGGTGATGCAATTGAGCCTAGTACCCCCCAACAACTGCTTTTTCCCATCCCAAGTACTGTCCAAAAAGCAGTGGTTCGGGGTACTCATCTGTGTGTGTTTTTGCTTTGGTTCTGTTCGTTTTAAGTTGTGGCGGCTTGCAAACAATCAATCTGTTTAACATACCGAGGCTTGGGAAGTTAAAAGGTGGTCCGTGCCCTTGGCATGTCAGGTGCGTGAAAGGCTCGGGAGGGGCGCGGGTGCGGAGGATATGTCGCGAGAAAGAGACGCGATGGCGGGGGAGGGTCTGTGAAAGTGTCGATTCTGGTGACCCTAAATGGGTTGCAAACGGGTTTCCGATTGCACCAAAGGACGCTGTGCGCAGCCTCCGAATGGAACCCATTTGTTAGAACCCATTTATTCCACCGGTCAACTATCCCTGCCTACAATGTTGAAGATTCCGAGCTTCTAAAAGATCAAACCGCACGAGCTGTTTGGTTTCCTTTGGCGTCGCTGTACCGGGGAACAAACTTCTATTTGGATGTTTTTGCCATGGTTGGTTTCAAAGGGAAGCCACAAGGATACTGTTGCCATTCTGGGACATGTTAAGAGAAATCCATCTATCTTCTTCAGCTGAAGACCTGGAGACGGGTCGGTGTGTTTGAGCCGTTTTGAGCCGTCCACAACTCCGGTCGAACTATTTAGCCTTTTTCTTACCACACCTCTCGCTCATCCGCTGGCCATTGATCCGAAAGTAAATCAAACGGCACAGACTCAAAGAACTCATGAAGAAGTGGGTCTTTCTCAAGATCGGGTTCCCGAAAAATGTGCCATTGTCGTTTGGTTTCCCTTTAAACTAGCCCCAAACAAGGTAGTCTCAAGCACCCAAAGCGTCAAGTCAACCAACCAGCAAACCAACCAACCAGCAAGTCAACAAGCCAGCGAGCAGGCAAGTATGCAGGCAGACACGGGCAAGCATAAAGCGCGCAAGCGAGCGAGCGCACACCGTCGCACACAAGCAAAGACAGCCAGACCAAAAAGCATGCAAGCGCACGAAATTGCACAAAGATGAATAAAGCAACACAAGTGTACTGACACAGGAACGCCGGAACCGGGCCCGGCGCTGGCCATGTTTTGTGGCAAGCCGGGAATGGCGGTCTAGGCGGGAGTCGATCTATGCGATCGGGTTTGCTCCAAGGTGTGAAACGATGTTCAACAGCAAAGGGTAGTGTTGGATAGTTTTGGCACCTTTTTGTTGCTGGATCCTCGGTAAGGGAACCGTCACATTGCTGCGAATGTTGCTTCCTTTGCTTTCATGATTTGAAGGATTAAATGCCTAGCCTTTTTCCAAAGATCGGGTCTTTGCAGCATGCCATGTATGGTCGAAAGGCTATTTGCTTGGACTACGTGGGGCAGGTAGAATTCTTAATGCCCTGTCCGGGCACGGATGAAGTTGACCCATTACAGTATCGCAAAGATTCTCGGGGTTACCTTGTTATTTTTTAAATCTCATTGGGGCTTTTTTCTCACCATTTACCTAATATCATTGACATGGCCAACCACCCATGGGTGAAAAGAAGTTTTCAAAAGAAGTATGGGTGAAAAGACTGAGGAGTAAACCTTTCCACTTGTCGGCTGCTCACAAGCCTTTGGGTTCCCTGAGACCGGTACGCGCAGGTTCCGTTCCACAATGCCAGGCAGGATCCAGTGAGGTTGGCGAGAAAGCAATCGGTGTCGCTTCGCTGGTGGTTGGTTAGGGACTATGGTGGGGTAGTGAGGCTTGTTTAAACCTCAATTTCGGGTGCTGCTCACCTGAAAATGCTTAAGGGAAGGCACAGGCAATGAATACTTATTGCAGGCCCAGGGCAGTTTGACTGGTTTGCCTCAAACGGTGCAATTTGGTTCGTAATTGGCAGAGACACAATGACCTCGTGTTCCTGAATTTCCAGAATTTCGACTTAGCCCCTGTCAGGCAGGTGGTTGGTTGGCTGGGTTGGGTTGGGGTGGGTTGGTCGGTTGGTTGTTTGGGCTTGCTGAGATGTGAATAGGGGCGGGCGTTTGAACAACCTTTGCTTCAGAAGGAAACCGGATGGTTCTTGCTTTGGAGACACAGCTGCACGGACTCTTTTCCAAGGCACCCCCAAGATGGTCATGTTTTCCTTTGCACTCCGTTTGAAACAACATAAACAACCCAAAACAGGTACCCTCAATATCCCTCAATCAGCCTGTGGAACTGTAGAGTCCTTCTGGATCTCGCCCGGTCCAGACCACAACGGAGACTACGTTTTCAAATCCCTGTGATTGTGATTGTGATTTCAGATGCGGTGCCACTGGCACCTGGACTAAACAGCGCAGGCTGTTTGTCCGCACAGAGCTCTGCCCCAACACCGCAGCAGCCCCGGCGACCTAGCCAGCACGGGTGCCAACCGCCATTGGCCTACGGGCCATCGTGCTGGCTTGGGTTGGTAAAAACCTCAAAAAAGGAACCAAACGAAAAAAGAAAAGAAGGCGTAACCTCTCAACCGACAAGGTCGGCAAAACACAGGTTTCCAGGGAACCCCATGCAACAGCTACCTTCATGCCTTTCCGGAATCCTACTGCCCTGTACCGCCTTTCAACCCTCATCCCTCAGAACCCTTCCCTCGGAGCTGCTCCGGACCACTCGGAGCTTATTTGGGCAGAGACCCCATAGCATTCAGCTGTTTGGGGAAAAGACAAGGTCAAGAGGTTCGGGTTTGTCCTTCTCCAGCGGCGATGATTTTTTAAGGGGAAAACACCGCAAGCGGTGGACATGAATCCCCACCATGACGTCCACCAAAGAGTCCCTCGCGAAAAGTCATAGCCAACTGGGGGTGTCATTTTTGAGGGGATCCACAAAATGGTGTTTGTTGTGTTGGTCTCCCTTTTTCACCAACCAACAAGGAGTCCCTCAAGAACAGACACACCCATCTAAGCCCATCTTCCAATGGACCGAAAGGTCGCCCCCTTTCAACGTTGCAAAATAGTTTCTTGGTAAGGATCACCATGCCCTTTTCGCATTTTTGGTTTTGGGATGAAATGTGGCCCAGGGCCACAAGGGCCCAAGCGGCCGGTGAGGCGCGCTGAGCTCCGCGGACCTGGATGGTATCGCCCAGCACGGGGCCGAAGTCAAAATGGCAGACCTCTTCGGTGGTGCCGTGGTCGTTCATGCAGGCACCGTATTGAAACGGTTAACATACGGAGATAGGGTATGATACCTACATGTGTATACGACAATGTGTATATTGTATATATATATATATATGCATTATACATGGTAATAGTGTGTAGAGAGAGAGAGAGAGACCACATGTATGTGCAGCGTTTATCGTTTCTGTGTACATTTGTTTGTTTCACCTATTTATTGTTCATGCGTCCTTTGTTTTGCTTGGTGATGCATCTACTTGCAGACCGGATGTGTGTTCTGTGTGTGCTTGAACAACTCCGTCTTCCCTGAGCCCGGGTTGGCGAACAGGGGGCTGAATCTGTAAACTGCGGAGAATCTCCAGCTTGAGTTGCCGGATGGGGAGGCCAAGGGGATCCAACACGGATTCAGAGCCAAGGCACAAGCAGTCACTAGTACTTATTGAGGCTGCGATGGCTCCCTCTGTGAATCTGCATGGAGGCGTCTGACATTCTAAAACCTGAGTGAACGGTAGCAAATTGCAGCTACCTCAGCTGCTGAGCTGTGTCGACGCGAGGCACAGTGATCTGTATTCCCTCCAGCCGCGCCCTCCCCTCCAGCCATTTCTAGTTAGGGCACAGAGGGTTAGGCACGAGTTGGTTCCTTCGCAGTGGGGTGCGGTGTGAATTCGTTTTTTTTTTGGCCAAACTAGCTGGGAGGCCTGTGGTGAGAAACGACCCGGCTCGCCCTTGCCAACTTGTAGTCCCCACATGTTCGGTTTTTGTTGGCATGAAGTGAGCTCCCCACGGATGGGGCGCTGAGTACTGTAGGGACTCCTGAAGCAGCGTGAATTTCACAAGATTGATAGATGCATAGGTGCAATTTTGTGTATGGATACAAACTGATTGCAAACATGGCGCACAAGTCCACTAGACAAGTATGTGGCCGTGAATTTGTACCGTATACCTGAAATGAATGAGATCCTTGCAACAAAGAAAGAAAGATCGATCATTGCAAAACAAAACAACTCTGCAACCCTATCATCGATCCCTTGTGCGCCCCGCTTGAATGAAATACACAATTTGTAGGAACTTGGCAAGACCTTTGCATATTTTTGCTTGGCTCATTGTCCTGAGCCTCAGTCCGAAGCCCACCGTTTTGGCAACTTGTTTGTTGCGACCATCAACAACCATTTTAGTAAGGGTCCTGTGTGCGTGTGTGCGTAGCATTTTAGAACCCATTTGTTAAAACCCATTTAGGGTCACAGCAAATGCTAGCTGTTTGGGTTGTTCAAAATAAATCCTTGCTGGATCTATATTGAACAGGTTCACTGGATTCCGCCCTCTTCTGATGTTCTGATGGGTTCCTTACTAGAATGACTATGAATTTCAATAGGTGTAGGGAACCTCCAAAGTGATGGACATAAATCCGCATGTCCATCAAAGGGTGGTCTATTCAAACTCAGTGCCAAATTGCTGTGCCAAATCGCTCAGGTATATCGCCGAGCATGTCGGGCGCTCAGGGAGCGGAGCTCTGAGTCTTTCTTTGAGAGTCACCTCGGACTGGGTTGAAAGGGAAACCAAATGGATTTTGAGAAATAACTGTACGTTTTACCTGGGGTCTCCCCCAAAGTGATGGTGTGATTTAGGGTGGCCTGAATATTAAGTAGAATCTGAACATATATACGTTTGTACCAAGCTAAGGTGCTTGGAGCTCGGCCCTTTTGGTGAGCATGGTTTAATGTCAGTAAATCACTGCGAAGATTGCCTAGATGGAAGATCAGACATCTGGAAGCTATTTGCTTTGGCCTCAAAGCTTCCAATTGTATGGAAGATGTGGGTGGATGTGTCAGACACGGCCGGCGTTCTCGGCGTTCTCGAATTTCTTTCGCCCGGGCTGTTTGAAGGATCCCACTTGCCTAGAGACTGAAACCCAGAGGTGACTCATTTCCCCACGTGGCTTATCCCAGTATTCATAGAGGATCATCCATCCCAACCAGTGCAGGATTTTGTTCATCCACAGTATTGTCCCAGGAGGCAGTTGGGGCTGTCTTGTTTTTGAGGGTACTCTGTTCGGGGGGGGGGGGTAGATGGAAACCATATAACGAGATCAGTTTGGAGGGTTCCACTATTTTGAGAC